TTTTCATACCGAGAAATTTAACCCCAAAGTTGGGGTAACTGTTTACCAGTGGAATGGCATTTACTCTCTGTGATTTTTGGGGCTGGGCCGATTTGTCCAAACTTGGCAGATAAGTCACACTCACTCTATTTAGGTTGATAAATCTGAAAACAAATTTTGGCCCATCGTTTCCATGGCAACATTGTTAAATTATTGTTTAAAAAAATCAGAATCATTTTTTCTAACTGAAATGAGTTCCATGTATTAACTGTAATTCACAAACAGTATTATGTTTATTTCAAAAATCTGGTACTTGACCCAATTTTTTTTTTTTTTACATGTATAACCCTGTATAGCAATAAGCAATCCCTTCATGAAAGATAAGAAACTCTCAAAAATTTCCATCAACTTTATTGAGGGGAGGCAAGGGGGGTAGCTGGTACGGTTTTACGGGAAATAAAAAGGGCTTTTCACAATTTACGAAGAAAAAAAAGTCGTTTTTACAGTTTACAGTGTTAACAAATGGAACATTGAATGGTCCGAAGAGCTCTCCGACTCAAATTCTCCACCATTGCTGGCTGTGTGAAGAGACGCATGCGCATATTACCCTCGTAATGCTCTTCATTCGGTTAGAGGGCCTTTTACGTGTTGACATTCAATTTTGTAGTGAATTGTGTCATCTAGTCGTTTTACAGTTTCTAAAATGTAATTTCCCTGGATTATTCTTTACGATTTTATATTTTGGATGTGAATTTTTGTACGTACGAGAAAAATGACACATTTTTACAGTGTACGAAAACAATATTTGATTGATTACGTTGTACGTCTAGCCTGTGATTACAGAATTACGGAATTTATTTTTTCTATTTACGTTGTACGAACAAAAAAATATTGCAATTACGTTGAACGAAAATAACCCTTGCCCCCCCCCCCTTTATTGAGCAACAAGAACCACTGCCTACATCTGATTTTGAATGGTGGTAAACGTCACTTCCCATCCTGTTCAATATTTTTATTTCATGTTCAATGTGTGTAAAATACTAGTACATGGTTTTCATGAAATTTTAATTGACTTGTGTATGTAATTACTAACATATTTATTTTTCTCACAGCTGGGGTAAAACCTGCCATTGCTGGATGTGTTGGATTTGCTTCGTTCTCCGCTGCAATTGATTACTACTTCCACATCAGATAACCTGTGATGTCATTTCCTGTCATTTAATAATCTTTGACTGTGGTAGCATCCCACAATGCATCTGTGCAAAGAAAACAGTAGTGTATATCCACAAGGGGCTATAACTGAAGAAAGACAATATAAAAGAAAATGGTTCCATAATGACACATTTTGAAAGAGTTTTTCAGAAGATTATACATAATTCATGCACACCATGATAGAAATCTGATTTCTGAAAGTCTCCTTTTCTGTGTGCCATGTTGTAAAACAGCAGCAGGGAAATTGTGTTTGGAAATATGGTAGTATTCATGAGCCTCACTTTGGTGGACCAATCAGATTTAGAAACTGCTATGATGTCAGGACATGATGTTCATCGTTTTATTATGTACAATCATGTGATGAGGTTATATTGACAATAAACTCTAGTACTATTGTATTTTTTATTTAAAACTTTGTATGAATGTACAAATTGCATTAAATAAGTTTTTTCTGACAAAAAGTAGTGTTTTTAATGTTATAAAGTTAATTTTAGTTCACATCTTGTCTTCCATTAATTTGTCTTCCATTAATTTGTCTTCCATAGACACTAGAAGGGAGAGGATAGGCACTGAGTTGAACATAAGACTTCTGTGCCATGTCTGGTGTGTTTTACATGCACCATAAGTGTTCAGATGAGATTCAGGTCTATGAGATTGTATTACTCTTATATCAAGACCTTGCGTTCCCCACAGATCACTTTACTTCAATGTATGTTACTATTTCTACCTAATGTATTAAATCACTTTTTATTTTGAATACATTTTTAACTGGGCATTTTGAGGTGTACGTACAGTGCAATTTGCTAAAGAAAATAGTTTATATAGTTTGGGGAACAGAGCTGTGACCATCTTCCTATCAAAACGGCATGGTAAATGAATGAGCTACGACTGGTGTCCATACTAATTATTTGTGGACCAACATCAATATTTGGGTTCTGGGGGAAGATGTATAAAACAAGCCATGCATGGCACAGTCCCTGTTAGTTATCAAATTTAAGATATATAGTTTTGTTTATAGTAATATAGTCAGGAGTATGAATCCAGAAGATACTTGATTATGATGATGATTTTTTAACATGAAAATGATTGACATCTTGTATCTGATTATCAAACAAGTACTTGTCCATATTGAGAAATATTGATCTGGAACAGCATTTAATAATTAAAACAAAATGATCACCAGTCGGCCATTTTATAATACATCTATATATCTATAACATCATGTAAAACGAATCTATAAAATTTGAACATAATCAGTCAAAGCATATCAAAAATGTGGCTCTAGGAGCGCATTCATATGAATGAAATGGCTGCCAGTCAGCCATTTTGAATCCGATCTGAAAATGAAGTGCATCAGGAACCCATAATCTTTAATGTATGTACCAAGTTTGAACAAAATCTATCCATAAATGCCAAGATCCATTTCTGGAATGCCAGAAATGCTTGATTTATGATGATTTTTAGCACAAAAATAGCTGCCATTTGGCCATTTTGAATCAGATTTTCAAACCAATATATCTATGTCATGATGTATAATGAATATATAAAATTTGATCATGATCAGTCAAAGCATGACAGAGATATGGCACTAAACTGCATTCATTAAAACAAAATCAGGATTTTTCTAGAAAAAAACTGCATAAAGGAGCACTCAATCAGAATTTTATGGTTGCCAGAGGATCTGCTACCTAGGGTAAAGGAGCACATGGTCATGGCATTAGGGTGCTGCGCCCCTGTTCCCTTGTTTAAAAACATCCCTGCAAATGGCCATTTTAAATTGGATCTAAAAAATAAAATGATGTGCATCAAGGTCCCATAATGTTCAACGTATGTACCAAGTTTAAACAAAATCCATGCATAAATGCTTGATTTTGATGAATTTTTAGCTCAAAAATGGCCACCATTCGACCATCTTAAATCAGATCGTGAAACAAATTGATGTGCATATATATAATATTATCTATGATGTATATGTGAAGCTTGATTGTGATTGGCACAGACACACAAAGGTCAAAACCCAAGTCCCTGTTTTCGGACTGCGTCCGAACGGAGACTAATAAACTACTGCAGTTCAGCAATCTTGTTTCTAAAGTCTATGGTTATACGTAGCACGAAGTCAAAATGAATTAATCATTCAATTTTTTTTTAGAAATCCAGTGCATATATATTTGTGAGAATATAAATAACATTTTTTTAATTTTTGTTGTTGATTTAAACAAAATTACATTCAGCTATTAGGAAAAGAAAAAAATAATATAAAAAAATATATAATATAAATCTTGATAAAAAATAAGTTAATCAAGTATCATAAAAACTTAAATTTTGTCATAATTATTAAACAATCAAAATTCCAATAATCAATCTGACAAAAAATACAACTTTTGTAAACTATATTGGATGATTTATACATGAGTGATGTTCATGTAATGTACAATGTTCTCTTCAGCTTACAATCAATGTGCAACTAGGGATGGATTTGTGAGGAAAACACAATATAAGTGAATAGTTCCTAGTGCATTCCGCAATCAGTGAAGGCGATTTTTTGTAGAGTGAACTGTTGGCTTAAATCTCGTAGTCCTTCCAAAGACTAAAAACAAAAACAAAAAAGTATTATCATAGTACGTCATCTGCATCATATTTTCATTATTATTGGTTTATACCATCAGAATACCGGAAATGAAACAAGTTGAGGCAGTGTGCCCTCTAACAAGACTGTTGTAGGATTTCGGATTCAAAATGGTTCACTGCTTGAAAGGTCTTCAAGTCAGACTTGAGAAACAAACAAAAATGCTGTGGCCCCCTTATTTCCTTTGTTATATTTGTTTATAAAACATGAACTTTTTTTCAAAATCACTATATGTATTATCTTCTGTATGTACACAACTGAATTGGGACAACTTGTTGTGTCACAGAAAATCTTTGTGTGTTCGTGGTGTGTCATATTGGGGTAGAGTCCACACTGGTAACCGAACAATTTATTGAAATACAAGAGTTCAAAATGACATGCAAAATGATCAAACCTGACATTTTTACACTGGTTTCTATGGCAAGATTTTTTCTTCATCTCAAAATTGGTGGACTTGGTGGAAGTCTATCCATTTTTCGACTATTTCCTTATTTTACTGATTGTATGCCAAATTTATTATGATCACTTGGACATTGGTCAAAATTTTCTTGAAAACCCAGTTAGATTCAAGGGCAGAAAAAAACTCCCAATCTCTTGTTAACTAATCTATGTAGCAGTGATGCCCTCTTTGTTAACTGTTTATAGCCAGTTATCACCCTGAATCTGAATAACCAACAACCCCTTCTGCCAATGGCGTTTCATAGAGGCCTTTAATTTCGCAAGAGCAAAAATTTCGCAATACAGCACGAGGTATCAGCATACGAGAACAAATTCACAAAATATACATCACATTTGCTCTACTAGTAGTGCATTATTTATGTAAATGACAGAAGTGGGTATATACAGTAGTAAGTCTTATTTTATTTTATTGTCTTATTTCTGTTTTGCACGCACTTATATTGGAGAGCACATATAGTCGGCATAAATATAGAGACCTTTAACCTTTTCACCACCAGTTCCCTCTTCATCACGAATTGAGTAAAAACCAAAAATTTACTCAAATTTTTGTCTACTGGCTCCAAAATTAAGGTTCATTTCTATAAATATTGAAGAATATTAGGAAAATGTGCAGAAAAATTTTGGCGAGAAAGTCTGGTGGTGAAAAAGTTCACCCTACAGAAGGATATATTATATTGTAATAATAATAATAATAATAATCTTTATTGAAACCGTATCCCGGAGTGGGATCTTAGTTGAAAATACAATAAAGTAATACAAAAAAGATGTATGTTTGGTTGTTTATTTACATGATATTCCTACCTTTTCGTGTAGTCTTCATCTTGTAAATTCTGTTCTATTAAATTCCTGATTTCTTGAGGTGGACTGAGTGCATGCCTGTCTGCTCTGTCCCACCTCTGTAGTCTAGTAATACCTACACATGAAATACAGCATTATGGTTAAGGTTGATTACGCTGGTAATAAAGTTTCACAAGTATGGTTGGTTGGATGGGTTCAAAGTAGATATGTAGAAGTTTTTTACGTGAGACTGTTTTCCATTGCCCATGTATCCATAACACTTAAAAATACAAAAGTTTAAAAAAAATGAAATATATTTTTGTACTTTTGATTGGGTTGTGTTTTTCGTATC